CGCCCACCCAGCCTCGGCCCGCCTCCCCGGCCCCGCGGAGCGCTGGGAGCTGTAGTCCCGCGCGCTGCCCCGGCGGGACGGCGCGGGCTCGCGCTGCCTGCCCCGGGGCCGAGGGTGGCGGTGCCTCGCCTTTCCCGCTGCGCACGGGCAGGGGCACGGGGAGAGGCAGAAAGGCCGGGACGTGATTGACTCGTGGCCTTATTCCCGCACCTAGCGCCGCGTCAGGGAAGCTACCACAGCTAGAGGCCCCGCGGTTTCCGTATGAATGAAAGCCCCGCGGCTCGCTCCCATCCTGGGGAGTGAGGGGAGATCCTAAGGGGGAGGCAGCACCTTCCCCGGACTCCTGGCGGCCCCAGGCACACTTTTAGTATCGTCCCCCGCTTTGCCCGAGGTAAGGGTAATAATCATCAGACAACAGGAACAAAAATTACTGTTTTCAGGCCCTCTTTCTGAAGGCTGCCCGGTTCATCCAGGCCTGGGTCCGACTCTGGGTAGAGGGCAAATCCCAACCCTGAGCACCTGGCTGGAAATGGCAGGAACGGCCACTATTGCCACCCCCTTTTCTGGATGCCGAGTCAGGCCAGGCCGTTCTTGGCCTGCTCCCTGGTACCACGTCTGTTCTGGGGTCCAGTTGTTGGCAACTACACTGGTGCCCCCACTGGGCTCGCTTGGGGGAGGACGGTGTGTGGATGCCCGGGAGGACTAAAAACAAGACCTGTCAAAGAGCGGATGAGCTCCTTGCAAGTCAAGGACCATCCATACCCAGAGGGGAGAGGGGCGCCACCAGGTCACACTGCCCAAAGAATTACCAATGATGCAAACAACTCAGCTAACCTAGGGTTGTTACAACCCCAACAGTCGTAGCAGCCTCAGGACGGACTCGACTTGACTTTCTGGATGACCCTGTCTTTATGAGACAGGGTCCTATTTGGGGCTAGCAGTTTCCATGATTGAACCTGCCTGGATGGAGGGCTTTTTTGCTGTTGAAGTAATGAGTGAAAAATGAGAGGAGCTGGGGGACAGGGAGGGAGCTCACGTTTCCCATTCGACAAAGAGATTGTGATCTTTCTTTTGTCCACACATCTGTAACGAGGGTACCATGATAGGGTCATACCTGAACCTAAGGGGCCATAACTAAGGTTCCACATTCAGCCTTGCTCTAGTTTTACAATTTTTGAGCCCTAACATGATCTTCTTATATCAAACCTTAAATGTTTGCCATTGTTTCATGTTGAAAATGTTTTCTCAGGTCCAGGGCAAAATAAGGATGTGTATAAGGATGTGATGAAACAGCATCACGACTTGCTGGAATTTCACTGTGCTCTCAAATAGCTATGCTAGGGCTTAGCAAATGTTTGGCCAGTTGCACATTTTAAGAAAAAAACATGTAGAAATACTTATGTTCTAAAGCGGCCTCTATCAAGATGGTTCAAAATGTAGGTTGACATAGAAATCAATGGAGTAAAAACAGGATCTCATCAGATGAAGAACTGCATTATGAAATCAGTACCAGTCAGTGGTAGAATCCTTGTCTACCACACGGGAGACCTGTGTTCAATTCCCAGACACTTATACAGTTACAGCCATGGAGGTACCAAACAGCTGGACTCAGTCTGGTCTTTGGATTCTGGCTTAGTGCCCTAAAGGGAAAGTGGAAGGTCTGGGCAGCCTCCACTTCTCCAAAAAAATCCTGTCCAGGCATATGAAGGTTTGGGTAGCTCTCATGCATACACCATGATCCAGGAGTATCAGTGGTTGCCACCCTTCAGCGGAGACCTGTACAATACGTTTTCTATTGGAACAGAACAGCAAAGGAAGTAGGGACAGGACCTCAGTGCAGGCTTGTGGATTGGAGGTCTAGAATTATACTTTAGATTTTTACCTATTAATTTCAGAAAATTACTTTTGCACTCCAGAAATAAAATAAAGGGCTGAAGAAGGCTTTCTCAGATATCTCTTTGTGTAGCGTACTTCTCTGGATAGCTCTGTTGAAGTCCACAGAACTATGAAAATTCACACCAAGTGAAGAACTAAGGTGTTAACTTCTTAGAGTTAGGATTTTTTTCTCATCTTCCCACAAATTGTCATGAGCTTCTATATTGCTGTCAAAGTGGTAGATAATACTTTGAATAAATGAGACTGGAATTGGGTCTTCCTTTATGTCCTGAGAAGCATCTAAATCTCTCTACTTTTTACACCATGCTGATGACTATGTTACTTAACTGACTCTCTACTTGTGCTTAATAAATAATAAACTTATAATAATAACCAATGTCAATCTTGTCCCCAAATATATTTTCAGTAAAAAATAAGCTTTTACAAGACTGGAATCTAGTTGGAATATTCTTGTGACGTGAAGGAAAATTATAATGGCAATATTAAAGGTAGACATTTCAGTATTGCCTCAGAACCTGAAAATTAATTGACTGCGTAAATCAAATGTTAAACTTTCCGGTCTCTATTAAGTGTCCAGAAGGACAAAAGTGTGCACTATGCATAAGCAACATAGACAATGAAAAATTACCTGCATACTTTAAAAGTCTCTGTTTACTGGGTTTCATGCCGGTTTAATTATATATAATTGAACTCATATATATATGTGAGTTATACATATCCCTAGAACACAGTGAAAATATATACAAAATAAATTGTAGTTTACTGCTGTCTACTTATCCTTGCTAGTCATTCTCACCTAAGCAAGAATTTCCTTATGGCACTACTGTATTTGCATCCATTTGAACTGTTATTTTTCATTCCCTTAAATAAGGAATGCACAGGAACATATACCCAAAAAAGTGAAGATTATGCCCAATTATTCCAGTTAGGCAGTATTTTAATCTGTTTGCTTCAGGGATAGTCAATGTACTTCTGTTAAGAGAATTTAGCTAGGTAATTTACATTAGGTTCTTTAAACAATTACTATCTCTTGCAGTTTCTTTCCTTCCACATTTATGCAATCATGCATGACCCCCTATTTTAACCCTGAAAATTAAGTATATACAGTAAACTAATGGAAGTTATGTCTATGTGTCAAAGAGAAAATAGGCCTGTGTTTATCTTTAGTGCGTGACAATGCTGCAGTAAAAGCACAATTTATAGTTTCTGACATGAAGTAATAATTTTGTTTACATAATATTGTCTGTGGTTTGTTTTTTTAAATCAGTACAAAGCCTTTCTGAAAGATCTGCCTTTTTCTTCTTACTTTGAAATCACTTCTCTCTGGACCATTGCATTCAGATTTATTGCAATTATTATTTGAATTTGTGTAGAGGTGGCCATAAAACTAGGAATGGTGTTACCTAAGCAAAACAATAATTAACATAGAGCAGTGCATTGTCTCTGGAATCATAACAATCAATCTTTTCTCAAAAGCAAACAAACCAAATTTGCATCATCGTTCTGCTCGAGTTTTACTGTCTCTATCTTTTACCATTTTGCATGCCCCTAATGAACTCTCTCTAGTGCTGTGATGTTGAGAACCTATGGTAATCAAACAGATACCTCTAAATGTTGACATCTGCCCATCTGGAGAATTTGCAGAAGCTCATTTAACTGCCATTAGGCACCTTGACCAGACCTGGTTAGAGTACCATTATACTTTAGCTTTTTTATATGCGATGTTTCAGTAAACGCAACTAGATGGACATGGATTTTGTGTCTTCATTTCTAGTCCTTTACAAATAAGCAAGACTTTCCATTGCTTATGTGTAAATTTAAAGTACTGGTATATTTACATCCATTTGAGAATTCATTTTTTTATTCTCAAGAAAGGGGCATAAATGCCTGTAAGAAACACAACTTATGATATAAAATAGCTTATCATCCACTTCAACACCTAACTACTTTTTTGTGTCCGTAATGCCAACCTTAATTCCTCTGTTCTATATTAACATTTGATTATTCCTTCCACAATACATTACTTTTTATGTATCTTTAACATGGCTTATTTGTTCCCTTCATAATGAAGACAACACAGCATAAAACTATTATCACTGCTGTTGCTGTTATAATGTTTATTGCACTTCCCATTATTATTAAGGTATACTGCTTTACCACTTCATGCTGTAGCTATAATTCTGCTGGGTCTTGCACACCTTCCTGCTGAAGGGGCTGATTATGCTGTAAGATTCAAAATTATGACTAAAATTACATACATAATTAAAAGATCTTAGGGACTGACTAAGAAGATTCATAATTTCTTGGCAACTAGTGTAGGAAATTCAGCAAATGCCATGAATTATGCGACACAGTGCTCATTAGTGCTGTTACCTGGTAGTTTGTGCTAGTGAGTGTAAAGTCCAACTCATGTCTTCAAACAGCCTTATTGGTAATTCTTTAAAAATAGGGTACAGTTCTTAATAGCAGTAGTACGCTTAGCACTGAAGATGAGCCAGCTAAATACCTGTAATAGGATGAAGCAGCATGTTTGGCTTTGCAACCAAAGAGACTGTAACTAGCCATGGAAATTAACTTAGAAATTGAAGCAACGTGTGTTATTTCACCTGGGAATAATTTATTATTTACCAAATTTAGGACAATTCTTTTGTTAGAGGCAGAATTTGAAAAAACAACATGGCTTTTGCGTTAAAAATCTAGCAAGATAAAACATGTATTTCTTTTCATATTTTTTAACCACCATTATTGTTTAAATGTTCATTAAACTGTTGAATGAAAAGTAATGATATCTGGCAGAAACACTATTTGACCAAAAAGGCCAAACTCTTATGCTACTTTACACGTCATGCAGTTCCTTCGAGTCTGATGTGGTTACTTG